TGTGCGGTGCGGTGTGGTTGTTGTGCAGTGCGGTGTGGTTGTGGTGCGGTGTGGTTGTTGTGCGGTGTGGCGTGGTTGTTGTGCGGTGCGGGGGGCAAAAGGGCAGAGGCGGTGGTCACGGTGGTGACCTCGCTGACCCATAGACTCACACAGAGCCTCATAGACTCATTCAGAGACCCATAGACTCACACAGAGCCATAGACTCACACAGACATCCATAGACTCACACAGAGACCCATAGACTCGCACAGAAAAACCCATAGACTCATACAGAGACCCATAGACTCAATGACCCATAGCCTCACACAGAGAGCCATAGACTCACACAGACATCCATAGACTCACACAGAGACCCATAGACTCGCATAGACATCCATAGACTCACACAGAGACCCATAGACTCGCACAGAAACCCATAGACTCACACAGAGACTCATAGACTCACACAGAGACCCATAGACTCACACAGAGACCCATAGACTCACACAGAGACCTATAGACTCGCACAGAAACCCATAGACTCACACAGAGACTCATAGACTCACACAGAGACCCAAAGACTCACACAGACATCCATAGACTCACATAGAGACCCATAGACTCACACAGAGACCCACATACTCACACAGAGACCCATAGACTCGCACAGAATTGGACAGAGGAGGACAGGCGGGAGTAGGAGGAGGCGTTGAAGCAAGGGCTCAAGTGCTGGGTATTGATTGTTTTTGTCTGCTCTTAAAGAAGCCATCAGCTGAGTACACAGTTCTGGTGGGGGGGGGGGGATTGAGCCCCCACCACACCGCCCCTCCCCCTCCCCATCAATGTGACTTTGACCAAAGATGCTTTTATCGGTTCGTCTGGAAGAGACCGGGGAGGCTCTGTGGCGGTGAGCGTGGTGCGTGTGTGTGTGTTGTGTGGTTGGTGTGTGTGTGGCGTGGTGTGTGTGTGTGGTGTGTGTGTGGCGTGTGTGTGGCGTGTGTGGTGTGCGTGGTGTGTGTGGTGTGTGTGGTGTGTGTGTGGTGTGTGTGGTGTGTGTGTGGTGTGTGTGTGGTGTGGTGTGTGGTGTGCGTGGTGTGGTGTGTGTGGTGTGTGTGGTGTGTGGTGTGTGGTGTGTGGTGTGCGTGGTGTGTGTGTGGTCTGGTGTGAGCGTGTGTGTGGTTTGTGTGTGCATGGTGTGTGTGGTGTGGTGTGCGTGGTGTGCGTGGTGTGCGTGGTGTGGTGTGTGGTGTGCGTGGTGTGTGTGGTGTGTGTGTGGTGTGCGTGTGCGTGGGGAGTGGTAGTGTAGCGGGTCAGCGACCCGAGTTCGAGTCCCGCTCATGGCCAACATCAGTGATGATTATCTGAACACAAATCAAAGACAAAGATCCCCCGTATAGCCTTTAACAGACTGTTGGGGCAAGTGCTGTTAGCGAGCGCCTATGAAGGCCGGAACAACACACGAGGGGGTGGGTGGCCAGCACCACGCCCGCCCGACCGCCTTTGTCTCCCCAGTGGCGATGTTTACTACACACCGCACCAGGTACTCATTTGAGGCTGAGTCGACCTAGGGGAGGAGGCCCAGGACCGGTTCAGATAATCGTCACCGGTGGTGTTGGCCCTGAACGGGAATCGAACTCGGGTCGCCGGTTGCGTCACGTGGCGTAGCGTTATCCGCTACGCCACCGCTCCCCGCACACACACACGCACACACACACACGTGCGTACACACACATCCACACACTCGCACATGGATGGACACACCATCCCCAAAGGCTCCATGTCCCTAGCAATGCTCCAATGCCCCAGGCGTGCCCAATGCCCCCCCCCCAAAAAACTCTACAGCCATACAATCAAAGTGTTAATACCAAATGCCTCAATGCCCCCAAACTCCATAGCCCCACAGCCAAAGTCCCAATATCAAATGCCCCCAGCCATGAACCAATGCCCCAATGCCCCCAAAGTCTATACAACTACAACCAAAGTCCCAAAACCAAATGGCCCCAGCCATGCTGAATGCCCCAATTACTCCATACCCCCACAGCAAAAATCCCAATACCAAATCCCCCCAGCCATGCCCCATGCCCCCATGCCCCAATGCCCTCAAACTCCATACCCCCACAGCCAAAATCCCAATACCAAATCTCCCCAGCCATGCCCCATGCCCCCATGCCCCAATGCCCTCAAACTCCATACCCCCACAGCCAAAATCTCAATACCAAATCCCCCCAGCCATGCCCCATGCCCTAAGGCCTCCAGACTCTATACCGCTATAGCCAAAGCCCCAATACCAAATGCCCCCAGCCATGCCCCATGCCCCAATGCCCTCAAACTCAATACCCCCACAGCCAAAGCCCCAATACCAAATCCCCCCAGCCATGCCCCATGCCCCCATGCCCTAAGGCCTCCAGATTCTATACCGCTATAGCCAAAGCCCCAATACCAAATCCCCCCAGCCATGCCCCATGCCCCCATGCCCCAATGCCCTCAAACTCCATACCCCCACAGCCAAAGCCCCAATACCAAATGCCCCCCCAGCCATGAGCCAATGCTCCAATGCGCCCCCCAAATCTAGACAACCAAAACCCCAATACCAAACGGCCCACCCGGCCATTGCCCCAATGCCCCCCCCCAAACTCGGCGCAGCCGCAGCCACTCACCGACGAAGTACGCGAGCAGGGCGGCGAGCAGCGCGGCGAGCGCCATGGCGCAGAGAGCGGCGCACCTCCACGAGCAGCGGGCTCGCTCCGGCTTGCGGAACGAAAACGCCGCCCGCGGCAACAACGGCGGCGGCGGCGGCGGCGGGGCGCCGGGATGGGGGGGCGGCGGAGGAGGGGGGGGCGGCGGAGGCGGGGGCCCCCCGCGTGCACCGCGAGCGGCGCGGGAGCGCAGGGCGGAGGGCGAGGACGGCGGCGGGGGCTGGCGGGGGGCGGCCGAGGCGGCGAAGGCAGCGCCGGCGGTGAGGCGCGGGAAGGGGACGACGCCGCGGCTCAGGCGGGAGTCCAAGCCGAAGGCCAGGCGCGGGGCCGCGGGGGCCGCGGGGGAAGAGGAGGCCAAAGGACCGGGCTTGAAGGCCGGGTGCCTGCGCGAGGAGGGGAGCGGGGGGGGGGAGAGCGTCACCTTCAATGTGCAAGCTGATGATGATGACGACGCTGCTGATGATGATACTGCTGATGATGATTCTGCTGATGCTGACTATGACGCTGCTGATGATGGCTATGACGCTGACGCTGCTGATGATGGCTATGACGCTGACGCTGCTGATGATGGCTATGACGCTGACGCTGCTGATGATGGCTCTGACGCTGACGCTGCTGACGCTGACGCTGCTGACGCTGACGCTGCTGACGCTGCTGAGGATGACGCCACTGATGCCGATGATGACGGTGACTCTGCCACGTACCTGCCACCTTCCATCGCCGGGTCCACGCAGCAGGGCGTCCAATTCCGGTGGTGGTGGTGGGCGCCGTGGGGGGTCAGGGGCGTGGGGGGTCCGCCCTGCTCCCTGCCCCCCGTTCCTCCCCCACCGCCCCCCCGCCGCGCGGGGACCACGGGCGAGGGGGTGCGGAGTCTCCCGCCCCCCGCTGCGTGCTGGCGGTGTGGGGGGCGGTGGTGCGGGGTGGAGGAGGAGGGGGAGGAGGGGGGGGAGGCGGCGGCGTCGTCGGAGTGACCCCCGCTCCGAGTGGGGGGCCCGTAGCCCTGAACGTCGGGGTGCAGGAAGAGGCCCCGAGGGATGAACACAGAGCTGTGATCTAAAGAGGGAGCGGGGAGGGAACGGGGCAGGGAGGGAGGGCGCGGGTTGGCTCGCCGATGCCTCCGTCGGGTGCCGGAGGGTTTCACGACACAAATTTTTTTTGTTTCTTCTCCGGAATCTTCGCGTCGGTTGCCCGGCCCGGAGGAAGCCGGCCGCGAATTCGCCGACGACGTTAAAAACGACAAGAGAGAGAGAGAGCTTCGCGGCTCATCGGGTTCCTCCCTGGGTGCAAATAAAAATTCTGACTCGGTTCCTTGCATTCGACCAGAAGCACACGGCAGAGGAGCAGCCCCCGCAATCCCCCACGCCCGTGCCACTGCTGGCGGAAGAGCGGCCTCCAGCAGAAGCCCTCCACTAGAGGCTTCTAGCGGAGGCCTGCGCTAGAGGTCTCTAGTAGAGGCCTGCGCTAGAGGTCTCTAGTAGAGGCCTGCACTAGAGGTATCTAGTAGAGGCCTATGCTAGAGGCCTGCAGCAGAAGCCCTCCGCTAGAGGCCTCCGCTAGAGGTCTCTAGAGGTCTCTAGCGGAGGCCTGCGCTAGAGGTCACTAGTAGAGGCCTGCACTAGAGGTCTCTAGTAGAGGCCTATGCTAGAGGCCTGCAGCAGAAGCCCTCCGCTAGAGGCCTCCGCTAGAGGTCTCTAGAGGTCTCTAGCGGAGGCCTGCGCTAGAGGTCACTAGTAGAGGCCTGCACTAGAGGTATCTAGTAGAGGCCTATGCTAGAGGCCTCCAGCAGAAGCCCTCCGCTAGAGGCCTGCGCTAGAGGTCTCTAGTAGAGGCCTGCGCTAGAGGTCTCTAGTAGAGGCCTGCGCTAGAGGTCTCTAGTAGAGGCCTACACTAGAGGTCTCTAGTAGAGGCCTCCAGCAGAAGCCCTCCGCTAGAGGCCTGCGCTAGAGGCCTCTAGTAGAGGCCTGCACTAGAGGTCTCTAGTAGAGGCCTGCGTTAGAGGTCTCTAGTAGAGACCTGCGCTAGAGGTCTCTAGTAGAGGCCTGCGGTAGAGACCTCTAGTAGAGGCCTGCGCTAGAGGTCTCTAGTAGAGGCCTGCGCTAGAGGTCTCTAGTAGAGGCCTGCGCTAGAGGTCTCTAGTAGAGGCCTGCGCTAGAGGTCTCTAGTAGAGGCCTCCAGCAGAAGCCCTCCGCTAGAGGCCTGCGCTAGAGGCCTCTAATAGAGGCCTGCACTAGAGGTCTCTAGTAGAGGCCTGCGTTAGAGGTCTCTAGTAGAGGCCTGCGCTAGAGGTCTCTAGTAAAGGCCTGCGCTAGAGGTCTCCACCAGAGGCCTCCGCTAGAGGCCTCCGCTAGAGGTCTCTAGTAGAGGCCTGCACTAGAGGTCTCTAGTAGAGGCCTGCGTTAGAGGTCTCTAGTAGAGACCTGCGCTAGAGGTCTCTAGTAGAGGCCTGTGGTAGAGACCTCTAGTAGAGGCCTGCGCTAGAGGTCTCTAGTAGAGGCCTGCGCTAGAGGTCTCTAGTAGAGGCCTGCGCTAGAGGCCTCTAGTAGAGGCCTGCACTAGAGGTCTCTAGTAGAGGCCTGCGCTAGAGGTCTCCAGTAGAGGCCTGTGCTAGAGGTCTCTAGTAGTGGCCTGCGCTAGAGGTCTCCACCAGAGGCCTCTGCTAGAGGCCTCCGCTAGAGGTCTCTAGTAGAGGCCTGCGCTAGAGGTATCTAGTAGAGGCCTGCGCTAGAGGCCTCTAGTAGAGGCCTGCACTAGAGGTCTCTAGTAGAGGCCTGTGCTAGAGGTCTCTAGTAGAGGCCTGCGCTAGAGGTCTCTAGTAGAGGCCTGCACTAGAGGTCTCTAGTAGAGGCCTGTGCTAGAGGTCTCTAGTAGAGGCCTGCGCTAGAGGTCTCTAGTAGAGGCCTGCGCTAGAGGTCTCTAGTAGAGGCCTGCGCTAGAGGCCTCTAGTAGAGGCCTGCACTAGAGGTCTCTAGTAGAGGCCTGCACTAGAGGTCTCTAGTAGAGGCCTGCACTAGAGGTATCTAGTAGAGGCCTGCGCTAGAGGTCTCTAGTAGAGGCCTGCACTAGAGGTCTCTAGTAGAGGCCTGCGCTAGAGGCCACTAGCGGAGGCCTGCGCTAGAGGTCTCTAGCAGAGGCCTGCGCTAGAAGTCTCTAGTAGAGGCCTGCGCTAGGGGCCTCTAGTAGAGGCCTGCACTAGAGGCCTCCGCTAGAGGCCTCCACTAGAGGCCTCTAGTAGAGGCCTGCACTAGAGGTCTCTGGTAGAGGCCTCTAGTAGAGGCCTCCACTAGAGGCCTCCACTAGAGGCCTGCGCTCGAGGGTTTCGTACCCCCACTTTACCCCACCACACCATAACGCGACCTGGCGATCACGAGAGGGAGGGAGATGAGAGGGAGATGAGAGAAATGGGAGGAAGATGAGAGAGATGGGAGGGAGGGACGGAGATGGGAAGGAGATGAGAGGGAGGGAGATGGGAAGGAGATGAGAGAGATGGGAGGGAGGGGACGAGATGGAGGCAGATGAGAGGGAGATGAGAGAGATGGGAGGGAGATGAGAGAGATGGGAGGGAGGGACGGAGATGGGAAGGAGATGAGAGGGAGGGAGATGGGAGGGAGGGAGGGAGATGGGAGGGAGGGGACAAGATGGGAGGGAGAGAGGGCGGAAGAGGGGTATGAAGGTCGGACATCAAAGGCAGAAGTCAGAGAGCGATTATATGAATCAAGTGACTGGGGATTGAATGATCGGTGATAAGAAGGGATTATCATCTTTACTCATACACACAAAAACGAAGATCCCCCATGCAGCCTCAACAGACTGTCGGGGCAAGTGCTGTTAGCGAGCACCTATGAAGGCCGGTACGCGAGGGGGTGGGTGGCCAGCACCACGCCCGACCGCCTTTGTCTCCCTAGTCGTGATGTTTACAAACCGCACCAGGTACTCATTTGAGGCTGAGTCGACCTAGGGGAGGCCCAGGACTGGTTCAGATAATCGGCACCCGTGTTGGCCGTGAGCGGGAATCGAACTCGGGTCGCCGGGTTCGTAGCGCTAACCGCTGCACCACCGCTCCCCACACGCACACACAAACACAGACACACACAACAAGGGAGGGCCGAGAAGACCTGAAGCTTCTTGCGGAGTGACAGACCAGGTAACTTCCACACAGCGTGTGAGATCTCTGATGGTAAGGCCCCACCTCTTAGTGGCAAGCTCCAGGTTCAGCAGCAGCGCCTCCAACTCCTCCTCTGAGTGAGCAGCAATTACCAGATCATCGGCATACATAACGTGGTTGAGCAATAGGGATTCATCCCTTGACCGCACCCGGGCATCGATCAGCCTCCCATTGTATCTGTACCAGATGGAAATTCCTTCGGTACAGCGATGGAAGGCTTCACGAACCACGTGGTCGAAATATATGTTAAATAATGTGGGAGCCAGAGGACATCCCCTTAACTGCTCTAGAGGAGTTGTACACCCCTATAGCTGCCACTGCTATTCAGTGGCCTAAAATAAAATGTTTCGCTCCGGATGACCGCTGCAAAGTATGATCTTGCGTTTTGATTTAGTGTGCTGATCTTTAAAGGTGCATTGAAAAATGTTGATACTCCGACTGATGCTCCTGCTGTTGTGGAGTGACTCATGCATCCAGCTATGGCTGCAGGGTTTGGTGGTACATGTTGTTTATGTCGTTTATTGTGAAAATTCGGTCACAGTTCCTATGCTCACTGTTACATTGCTTTTATGGCTTTATTTTGGTGATTTCGAAAAGTTTTTTTGGTTTGGCCATGTTTGTTTGTTGTAGAACGGAGTTAGACTGATGGCTTTAATCTCAGTTGTCTTGTGGTTGTTGTTGTTGTTTGACTTGCATCCCACTGGGATTTTTGCACACGGCGTTGGTGTACGGTGCTTTTTCTGGAAGATTTTGCTGTTTTTTCCTGGATTTTCTGTTTGCACAAAGTCACACATAGTCACTTAAAGATGTTTTCTTGTTCATGTTTTTTGTTTGTTGCGGTTGCACCCGATTCAAGAGCCGAATGGCTCACAGGGCTATACCAAATAAATGAAACTGAAAACTGAAACTGTCGCACCCCAAGGTGTACAGGGAATTGCTCTGACTCCCGGCCACGTAGTTTTACCCGGGCCCACTCACCATCATGAAGGTCCTTAATGATCATGAGCAGCGGGTCAGGGACTCCGAAAGCACGAAGAACAGCCCAAAGCCCAGCCCTACTGACGGTATCGTAGGCCTTGACCAGGTCAATAAAGCAGATATGTAGGCCTTGTTGAAATTCCCTACACCTCTGCTGTAGCAAACAGACAGAAAATATGGCATCTGTGCAGGACCGCCCTTTCCTGAAACCGCTTTGGGGCTCCGCAAGCCTCTCCTCAGCGTGCCTGGCAAGGCGATGTTGAATAATCCTTGCCAGGACCTTTCCCGGCCTCACACTGAGGAGTGAGATGCCCCTGTAGTTGTTACAGTCTGTGCGGTCCCCCTTCTAAAAGAAGGGGAACCACCAGGGCATCCTTCCAATCCTGCGGAACCCGTCCAGTGGTCCAGACCATTGTTATGATGTCACGTAGGGCAGCCTGCGCACACAGAGACACTCACTCGCACACTGCTTCTCACCGATCTCCGCGTCGTACACGGCCCCGCCCGGGAATGTGGAATTGCGAGCCTCGGGGTCCGAGTCGGAGTCCGTGCAGCCCCCCCCAACTCCGCCGGCCCCTCCCCCCGGCCCCCCACGGCCCCTCCCCCTGCTCCTTTCCGGCTGGGTCGCGCACTCGGGACTCGAGGAGGGAGACGAGGACGAACCTAGCCTGGCACCTTGGGACACAGCGGGGAGACACGGAGACAGGGAGACATGGAGACACGGAGACACGCTCGTGTGGAGACAGGGGGACACGGGGACACGGAGACATGGGGACACGGGGACAGGGGGACACGGAGACACGCTCGTGTGGAGACACGGGGACACGCTCGTGTGGAGACACGGGGACAGGGAGACACGGGGACACGCTCGTGTGGAGACACGGGGACACGGGGACACGCTCGTGAAGAGACACGGAGACACGGGGACACGCTCGTGTGGAGACACGGGGACACGCTCGTGTGGAGACACGGAGACACGCTCGTGTGGAGACGTGGAGACACGGGGACACGGAGACAGGGGGACACGGGGACATAGGGGGGTCAAATGAGTACCCGGTGCGGTGTGTAGTAAACATCGCCCCTGGGGAGACAAATGCGGCCGGGCGTGGTGCTGGCCACCCACCCACCCCTCGTGTGCCACAGTGCCACGGCCTTCATAGTTTGCTGTGACTCTCTAACAGCATTTGCCCTGATGGCCCTGTTGAAGCCTACACGGGGGATCTTTGTCTTTGTGTGCACATAGTCTGGCAACAAAAAAAGCCTCCACGTGACTCTCGTGTCTCGATGTCTCCAGGTCAAAAATAAATCAACAAAAAGGTCCCCCGTGTAGCCTGCAACAGACTGTCGGGGCAAGTGCTGTCAGCGAGCAGCAGCACCTGTGAAGGCCGGCACGGCACACGAGGGGGTTGGTGGCCAGCACCCACGCCCGGCCGCCTTTGTCTCCCCCAGTGGCGATGTTTACTGCGATTAATCTGAACCGGCACCGGTTCCACTGCTGGATGTTGGTGGTGTCCGCGAGCGGGAATCGAACCCCGGGGACTCTGCCGGGTCCGTAGCGGTAGCGCAGCGCGCTAACCGCTGCGCCACCGCTCCCCCACCTCCCCTGACACAGGCGCACGCAGCAGACAGCCTCGCTTCCCCAGAGCGGTCCCCTGCATTGCCAGCGATTGCTTGAGTCTTAATTACAGCGCACAAGTTACTGGCGTCTTAATTGCCTCTTAATCCACGTGATTAATTATTCAGATGAGGACGCGTAGGGAGGTGGCGGGGTCTGGGCGAGGGAACGGATTAATCAGGATGGTGACATCGTTACCGACTTCACCATCATCATCACCGTCATCATCATCATCATCACCGCCACCACCGTCTTCACTATCATCGCCACCACTACCATCACACGGTAGTCAACAACCACACCGCCACTCACCCACTCACTCATCTCGCCACTCACTCATCTAGCCACTCCCCCACTCACTCACTCACTCACCCACACACTCACCTACCCACTAAGCTACTCACCCACTCAATCAACCACTCACTCACCCACACACTCACCTACCCACTAAGCTACTCACCCACTCAACCACTCACTCACTCACCCACACACTCACCTACCCACTAAGCTACTCACCCACTCAATTAACCACTCACCCACACACTCACCTACCCACTAAGCTACTCATCCACTCAATTAACCACTCACTCACCCACACACTCACCTACCCACTAAGCTACTCACCCACTCAATCAACCACTCAACCACCCACCCCACTCAATCAATCACACATCAGCCCACCTCCGTCTCTAGCCCATTGAGACCTACTCACTCAGTTATTCACCCACCTACCGACTCACCCACTCACTCAATAACTCACCCACTCAATAACTCACCCACTCAATCACTCACTCACCCACTCAATCACACATCAGCCCACCTCCGTGTCTAGCCCATTGAGACCTACTCACCCAGTTATTCACCCACCTACCGACTCACCCACTCACTCACTCAATAGCTCACCCACTCAATCACTCACTCACCCACTCAATCAATCACACATCAGCGCACCTCCGTCTCTAGCCCATGCTACGCACCCACCACACTGCAGGTCACCTCACTGCTCTCTCTGCTTCTTCCCTCGTCGCTGCTCCACTCTGGAATCCCCTTATCCCATTACCACCACCACCAATACTCCACCATTCACCACTAAGTGACGGTGACGTCACCACGTCGCCTGTGCCAGGCTAGGTGCACTTTGAGGCCACGTGAAGTGTCGAAGGCTCACTGCTGACAGGAGGTCTCGGGACAGACCCAGCAGGTGCCACGGGTTGACCGACTGAGACGAGTGGCCGATGCACCACCACCTGTGCCCCCTACTGTGCCAACTTTCTGTATTTTAGCCGCCCGGCGCTCCGCTCGTTGTTGTGAGTGTCGCTCCTCGGCCCTCCGTTGTTGTTGGAGGGCGACTGCCTCCAACTGCCCAGTAGCGTCCTTCACGAGCCTCCTCCACAGAGGACGATCTTGACACCGCCGGTACCAGTCATCGGCAAGTCCACTCAGCTCCACGTCCTCCCGTACCACATCAGCTCCGTCTCTTCTCTAGCCCGTGCCGCGCCCGTTTAGCCCCCTCTGTGCGGCCAAACAGATGCTGATTGAGCATGCGGTGACTGGGCATGCGAGCTACATGACCCATCACCATCACCACCATCGTCTCCCTTACCCCAAGCTCTCACAACAACAACAGCAAGCCTCACTCGCATGAGCAAACCGTCAGCCCCGCGACCCACTGCGATAACAGTCCCGCGTTTGGAGCGTCAAAACATCATCACGGGGGGGGGGAGGGGACACAAAGACGGCCTTGGCGTGGCGCCGGCAACAACAACAAAACATCAACAAAACCACCACCACCACAACAAAACCACAACAACATTGTTCCCCTCCGTAGGTTCCGCGCGCAGGCATTCACAAGCACGACTCGCTAACAGCACTTTCCCCGACAGGCCGTGTGGACTACACTAGGGGAGGTGGAACCTTTGGCTTTGTATCTCATAACCCCCGTCCCTCTCCCCAACTCCTATCGCTCCATCTCCCCGCCCCCCCACACACGAGTAACTCTCCAACCCACCACCGCCCTACCAGACCCCATTCTCTCTCCGCCTCTCCTATAACTCCTCCAGCCCCGTCCACTCTGCCCCGTGCTCCACTCTTTCTCTCTCTCTCACACTCTTTCCCCTCCTTTATTATCTCCATACCTCTGTTCAACTCCCCGTTGCCTCTCTATTTTGGTTACGATCAGAGGAAACAAGAAGATGCTCGGTGTAGTCGGCACTTTGCTCCGTTCATCATTTCGTTTTTTTGCTTTGCTTTATGTAACCCCCCCCCCCTCCCTTTTAAAAGAAAGACCCAACAAAATATTGTTTTTCTTTTTTTCTGCTCTCCTTACCCCTTCCCTCTCTCTCTACCCCCCTCTCTACCCCCCCGTCTCTCTCCCTACCCCCCTCTCTGCCCCCTCCTCTCTCTCTCTACCCCCATCTCTGCCCCCCTCTCTCTCTGCCCCCCTCTCTCTCTACCCCCCTCTCTGCCCCCCTCTCTCTCTACCCCCCTCTCTACCCCCCCCTCTCTCTCTCTCTACCCCCCTCTCTGCCCCCTCCTCTCTCTCTCTACCCCCATCTCTGCCCCCCTCTCTCTCTACCCCCCTCTCTGCCCCCCTCTCTCTCTACCCCCCTCTCTGCCCCTCTTCTCTCTCTACCCCCCTCTCTACCCCCCTCTCTCTCTACCCCCCTCTCTACCCCCCTCTCTCTCTACCCCCCTCTCTACCCCCCTCTCTCTCTACCCCCCTCTCTACCCCCCTCTCTCTCTACCCCCCTCTCTACCCCCTCTCTCTCTACCCCCTCTCTGCCCCCCCCCCTCTCTCCTGTCCCCTCTCTTCCTACTCCATTTCGCTCTCTCTCTACCCCCCCCTCTCTCTACTCTATGTCTATGTTCCCCCTGTATTCTGTCTTTTTTAACTACGACAAGTGCTGCATCTGCACCCAGCCCTCCTCCGACGGGTAGCTCATATCTGCATGCAGAGCTCTCTTATCTGTCTCCCTTCCTCTCCCTCCAATCTCTGTCGCTCCTCTCTCCTCCGCTGAACTCTCCCTTCGCTCTCTCCGTCCCCTCCATCTCGCATCCCCCTCTCGTCACTCTCCTTTATTATCTCTCTCCCTCTCCTGTGTGGGCCTCTGTGTGAGTCAATGGGTCTCTGTGTGAGTCTATGGGTCTCTGTGTGAGTCTATGGGTCTCCGTGTGAGTCTATGGGTCTCTGTGTGAGTCTATGGGTCTCCGTGTGAGTCTATGGGTCTCTGTGTGAGTCTATGGGTCTCTGTGTGAGTCTATGGGTCTCCGTGTGAGTCTATGGGTCTCTGTCCGAGTCTATGGGTCTCTGTGTGAGTCTATGGGTCTCTGTGTGGGTCTATGGGTCTCTGTGTGAGTCTATGGGTCTCTGTGTGAGTCTATGGGTCTCTGTGTGAGTCTATGGGTCTCTGTGCAAGTCTATGGGTCTCTGTGTGGGTCTATGGGTCTCTGTGTGAGTCTATGGGTCTCTGTGTGAGTCAGTGGGTCTCTGTGTGAGTCTATGGGTCTCTGTGTGAGTCAGTGGGTGTCTGTGTGAGTCTATGTGTCTCTGTGTGGGTCTATGGGTCTCTGTCCGAGTCTATGGGTCTCTGTGCGAGTCTATGGATCTCTGTATGAGTCTATGGGTCTCTGTGTGAGTCTATGAGTCTCTGTGCGAGTCTATGGGTCTCTGTGTGAGTCTATGGGTCTCTTAGTCGCCGGATCAGTGTGATGAGTCTATGGGTCTCTGTGCGAGTCTATGGGTCTCTGTGTGGGTCTATGGGTCTCTGTGCGGGTCTATGGGTCTCTGTGTGAGTCTATGGGGCTCTGTGTGGGTCTATGGGTCTCTGTGCGAGTCTATGGGTCTCTGTGTGAGTCTATGGGTCTCTGTGCGAGTCTATGGGTCTCTGTGCGAGTCTATGGGTCTCTGTGTGGGTCTATGGGTCTCTGTGCGAGTCTATGGGTCTCTGTGTGGGTCTATGGGTCTCTGTGCAGGTCTATGGGTCTCTGTGTGAGTCTATGGGGCTCTGTGCGAGTCTATGGGTCTCTGTGTGGGTCTATGGGTCTCTGTGCGAGGCTATGG